CAGGAATCAGAAATAGGAGCATTTTATCTTGTATGCAAGTCACACCCAGTAATGCATAAATTGTAAGGGCATAGAGCCAAGCACTATCAGTTCTGTGCAAGCAGAGATCCACAAGCTCAATGGGCACTGAAAGCATGAGATGTTGACTCATAAATAATCCTTCTGCATTTTTACACAGTTATATAACCAGTTATTTATAGTAATGATAATTTACATTAATATTAGAATACTGAATAGAAGACAAAAATAAGTTATTTTGGAAATAAGTAATAAATATTTCTAAGTATCAGTTGCTTATCAAGACAAAATTGGATGGATCTTAAAACACTCAGGAAATAATACTAACTAGCATAACCCCTCATTAATATTTTCTCCACTTAGGTGGCTCCATGAAAATATCACTCCTAGAGAAATATCTAAACACAGCTGAGTGGAAAGAAGGTTTTTAAGCTAGAAATATAACCCCCAGTTTGCAGCTCATATAATTGCATGTCCCCTGTAGATGAGCAGGCTTAAAAAGAAAATATTTTAACAGAAGGTGGATATAATTCCAAGTTGTGATTTTTCAACATGCTCAATAATTTTATATATATAATCTGCTTAAAATGTAATTAAGTATGTATTTTTGTATTTTAAATGTATTTTTAAATGTGTTCTTTGCATAATTATTTTATGTGTAATATATATATATATATACATACATACATGCACACACACATATATATGCAGATTCAACAAGAGTTTGAAAAAAGCAACTTGAGTTCTTTTTATGTATTGGTTGACTAAAGTTTATTTACATCCTTATAGATCCAACTTAAATTATAATAAAGGACATTTATTTCTAAATATCTCTATTATTTGAAAACAAAAGAGACACTAAAAGTCTGTACAGCAGATGAAAATTTTAGGAAATAAAACAATCTGATATTAAACAAGCACACCATTGAATAACTCTCTTTTCCAATTTTGAATCAGGAAAATAAATCCCACTGGAATATGGAAATATTTGGTGAAGGCATTTTAGGGGTTGATGACAGGAAAACAATTTTGGATGTCCTAAAGCAAAGCCATATCAGAGACTTGTTCTTCATGTGTGAGTGTGTGTGAGTGATGACAAAGACTTACTTTAGGGGTTCCACACTTGTGTCTGCTTCTTTGAAGGCTAGAGTGTAGGCTCCATGTTTGTTCACTGATAACTCCCAAGATCCCAGAACAGTAACCTGGCACAGTAATCCCAGAATAGATCTGGTACAGTGATCACTTATTAAAATATTCATTAAGTTACATGGTTGTTCACATTCGTAGCATGGAAATTGTAGAACAAGGTGTCCCCACATGGTCTATAATTTATAAGTTGTAATTACTGCTCTCAATGAAAAAATAAAAGTAGACCCATCTGTCACTTAAAGTTAGCAAAGAACTTGTCTTCCATACCCTTACTCAGTCATCTTGGTTCATCCCAGCCTCGGAGCAGCTGTGCACCAACTGATGGACAGTGACTGTAATGGGGTGTGTGGTGGGGACTTGGTGATGGGGGGAATGTAGTAACCATAACATTGCTCATGTGAAACCTGAACAGAAGATTGTATATCAATGCTACCTTAATAAATAAATAAATAAATAAATAAATAAATGATGACACTTGTTTTAAGAAATTGCTTTTTTCTTTAGCTATAAAATATGGTTATTTTAGAAGGTTACATTTTCTCATTTAAGTTCTAGTTTAACTGACCAGTCTTGCTAATTATTACATAGAATTACATGTAGATATAGAAATAGAAATAGGTATAGACTTAAACACAGACTTACATATGGTCATAAGTATATATATATCTGTAAACACAGATAAAGCTGTGATATCACAGGTTCTTCTGTTGATAAAAAAAATCTTAAGGCACTTTGTAAGTCAGCTCACACCACGCTTACAATAGATTTAATCCAAACAACACTAACACAGTTTTTCAATCCAAACGTAGCTAAGTTTGATTCTTCCACTATGTAAGCCAAGAAAGGAACAACTGGGAGATGGGGTGACCTATGGTGCCAAAGGTCACAGAGAGGTAAAAGGTGAAAGAAGTTCAGAAAAAGGATTCATTCCTGTAATGACTAGGAAATCTGGTGGTTTTTTCAAATTTGCTGCATAGACAAGGGTATGTGGGAGAAAATGAAATCTCCAGGAAATATTAGGTGAGGGAAATAAATGAAGGTTCACAAAACAAAGAGAAGAAAAGGGAGTGAGAGTGTCAGTATTAAGGCGAAATTCTTTTGCAGAAGATAGAAAGGGAGAGAAAAGGGAGGAGACCAGTGTGTAATTGAAGGGTGAAGGGAAATAAGGTCAGCACTGAGTTATTAGTTAGTATTAAACATCATAGTCCTCCATTTTTATCTGTTTTTGACCTATTTTCATTTTCTTTGTGTTCTGGGGACAAAGATCTCTTTTTAAAGTCTTTGCTCCCTTTCATCATTTATTAATTGCATTTATTTTTCAGCTTTTGCTAAAAAAGGCTATTTCTCAGCCCTGGGAATGCACTGGCATTAAAGGTGAGAAACAGAAGCTGTACTTTGAGCTCTTCAAAGAAAAGCACTTTAGAAATCAAAGGCACTGCTATATTGTTATTATTCTCTCCTTCCCCTGAAAGCTTGGCATCACATTAGCTCTGATCCTCAAAGAGAAGTCTCTCACTTTAACCATTATATTAATATTTTGTGACTCTGAAAAAGGAATGGATATCTAAATTGGTCAGTCTAGTCCAATAATCTTTTTTCCCTTAGTTCTGGTGCTATGGGTCTGATCCAGGAATCAGAAATAGGAGCATTTTATCTTGTATGCAAGTCACACCCAGTAATGCATAAATTGTAAGGGCATAGAGCCAAGCACTATCAGTTCTGTGCAAGCAGAGATCCACAAGCTCAATGGGCACTGAAAGCATGAGATGTTGACTCATAAATAATCCTTCTGCATTTTTACACAGTTATATAACCAGTTATTTATAGTAATGATAATTTACATTAATATTAGAATACTGAATAGAAGACAAAAATAAGTTATTTTGGAAATAAGTAATAAATATTTCTAAGTATCAGTTGCTTATCAAGACAAAATTGGATGGATCTTAAAACACTCAGGAAATAATACTAACTAGCATAACCCCTCATTAATATTTTCTCCACTTAGGTGGCTCCATGAAAATATCACTCCTAGAGAAATATCTAAACACAGCTGAGTGGAAAGAAGGTTTTTAAGCTAGAAATATAACCCCCAGTTTGCAGCTCATATAATTGCATGTCCCCTGTAGATGAGCAGGCTTAAAAAGAAAATATTTTAACAGAAGGTGGATATAATTCCAAGTTGTGATTTTTCAACATGCTCAATAATTTTATATATATAATCTGCTTAAAATGTAATTAAGTATGTATTTTTGTATTTTAAATGTATTTTTAAATGTGTTCTTTGCATAATTATTTTATGTGTAATATATATATATATACATACATACATGCACACACACATATATATGCAGATTCAACAAGAGTTTGAAAAAAGCAACTTGAGTTCTTTTTATGTATTGGTTGACTAAAGTTTATTTACATCCTTATAGATCCAACTTAAATTATAATAAAGGACATTTATTTCTAAATATCTCTATTATTTGAAAACAAAAGAGACACTAAAAGTCTGTACAGCAGATGAAAATTTTTGGAAATAAAACAATCTGATATTAAACAAGCACACCATTGAATAACTCTCTTTTCCAATTTTGAATCAGGAAAATAAATCCCACTGGAATATGGAAATATTTGGTGAAGGCATTTTAGGGGTTGATGACAGGAAAACAATTTTGGATGTCCTAAAGCAAAGCCATATCAGAGACTTGTTCTTCATGTGTGAGTGTGTGTGAGTGATGACAAAGACTTACTTTAGGGGTTCCACACTTGTGTCTGCTTCTTTGAAGGCTAGAGTGTAGGCTCCATGTTTGTTCACTGATAACTCCCAAGATCCCAGAACAGTAACCTGGCACAGTAATCCCAGAATAGATCTGGTACAGTGATCACTTATTAAAATATTCATTAAGTTACATGGTTGTTCACATTCGTAGCATGGAAATTGTAGAACAAGGTGTCCCTACATGGTCTATAATTTATAAGTTGTAATTACTGCTCTCAATGAAAAAATAAAAGTAGACCCATCTGTCACTTAAAGTTAGCAAAGAACTTGTCTTCCATACCCTTACTCAGTCATCTTGGTTCATCCCAGCCTCGGAGCAGCTGTGCACCAGGAGCCCACATTTGAGCTCTGCCTGGTGCTTGACTCTGTTGTCACTCTGACACTCTTATGGGTTGAAGTCTGTACTCCCTGCAATTCCTATGTTGAAGCCCTAACCCACAGTGCCTCAGATGTGACCTTATTTGGAAATAGGGTCATAACAGATATAATTAGTTAAGTTAGGATGAGGTTATACTGGAGTTGGATGTACCCCATACCTGATATGTCTGATGTCCTTATAAGAAGGGGAAATTTAGACACAGACCTGCACACAGGGAGAACATCATGTAAAGATGATGGCAGGGATTGGCTTGATGCTTATACCAAGTAGGGGATGCCAAAGATTGCGTGGAAACCATCAGGAGCTAGGAGAGGATATGGAACAGATTTTCCCTCACAGCCTGCCGAAGGAACCAACTCTGCCCACACCTTGATCTTGGACTTCTACCTAGGAAGCTATAGGACAATACATTTCTGTTGAACCATTCAGTCTGTGTAACTTCGTTACAGCAGCCCTTAGCCAACTAATACAGCTACTGACTCGCTCCTTGCCGCTTATCAGATCACCCACTGGGGCACTACCCTGACCTCCCACTGGACATTGTCTTGTTCAGTGTTCAGAGTTCACAAGATTGCCTCCAATTTATTCCAAAGCATCCAAAGTATACATTGTCAATATCCAACATATTCTTCCACTAAATTTACATAACAGTTACATCTATCACCTTTCCCTTACCTTCTGCTTGCTGCTGTGCTTGCAGTGATGTTATAACCAGGAGGGGGTGGTGGAAACCAGGACTGTCTGTTAAGAAATGACCTCATTTACAAACGTGGTACATAGAAGGCCTGATCCCACCCACATGTCTACCAGGAAAAGCTGAAACTAATTTGACAGTTCTGAAGACAATAAGATGGTTTTTCTATAAGGCCTAGGACATAAAATGAAAACCATTTCATAAATGCAGTAGGAAGTAATGGTCCCATATTCCAGCCTATTTACTCCTGCAGTAAACTTCTTTTCCCATTTTTTGGATACTAAATAATGTGGACATTTCTTTAAAAAGAAATATGAAGGAAATCTGGAAAATAATAACATTGTTAATCTAGATAGTGCTTGTTACTAACATGCCTCTTTTTCTCTCTATTTTTCTGCCTATCTGAAATATTTCATAATATAAATAACCACCATCTTATGCTCTACTCTAAATAGCGTTTAAAAAACTGAGTGATAGAAAATTCTGACAAGTAAGAATATTACAAACATAAATAAACCCCACAGTAATGCTAATCCCAATTGTACATGTATATATAAATACATATATACCCAATTAGAAAGATGTCTTCATGTTACTAGGACAAAATTTTAATTTGTAGAGATAGCTTAGGGCTCTATCAAAAACAGTAAGATATAGACCAGAAGTCACAGAGGAAAGCGACAATTTAGAGAAGGAAAGGCTGGACTGAGAAGGACAGGAGAGCTGGTTTTAAGTATTTAGAGCAGGTGTATTCTCTGAGGCACCATGGGACTGAACTAAGGTGAGACGAAAGTAAATAAAAGCAGATTTCAGCTCAACATAAGTAGTAGATGCTACCACAAAAGCTAGTAGCAGTTTATCATAAAAGTGAGTCTTGTTGCTGGTTTCAATGGTCCTCAATTATGCCTAACTTGTAGGAAGAAAGATTCTTGCACTGGGTAGGAGATGAACTAACTGATTTTAAGTTTCCCTTTCAACTTTATGAATCTGTTTTGTGTAAAGGGTTGGGAGATGTGAAATTTGGATTCAAGAGAAAGGTGATCGTATTTTTTGTGACTCTTTAGATATAAGCAGAATTCCAGTTATAGAAAGAATCAGCTGTTTCTCTCCAAGAGGAGTACAGCAGCACCTTGGCAGCCAGCCAGTCCATCAGTAAACCCTGAGCACCTACCCTACACCAGACTGGTCTTAGGTGTGGGCAAAGCAAGTAAGAAAATTTTAAAGGCATTGAGGTTCATGAATGCTTGCTTTCCATTTTCATCATAATTTACTAGTTCTGTGTTCTCTTCAGCATGCAAAACTTGTTTCCAACATCACATTCTGTCTCACAAAGAATATTCTGCCACAACAGGTCTAACTACTACCTAAATAGAACTCAGCACAGGAAGAATGTAGGAGGCTAAAGGGAGGATGCAGCAGTGATGCAGGCTGGTTTCAGGAGCATGGTGACATCTGGCCACGCCGCAGTCATTATTTCAGGGTAAAGTATTCCCTGTAGTAGAACTCTACTAAAGGTGTTACCTGAAGTAGCTCACCCTTTACTATCTGAGATCTATCATCAAAAGCATTACCTAGAGTTGCAAGACCCTAAGGGACCTGGAGAAGAGACCACATGTTTGAAAAGTTGCTTAGAGGGAAAGGACTGAAGTTTGAGGACAGAAGAATTCAGCAGGCACTGGATCCCTGGAAAGGGAAGGAGAGAAAAAGGAGGAGAGACAGAGCAATATCTGAAGCCTACTTGGGGGTCATGGCATGATTTGGTTTACAAGTCCCCAAAAAACAATCCTTGACAGCATATTGACAGAGGCAGACAGAAGGAGCCAATTATACCTCTTTTTCTTCACAGGTGTTGTAGCAGAGGTGGAAGCCGGGGCATTGGTGGTGTTTGTACTGAACAAACCTCTAGGTTGCCTGTTTTAGTCACAAGAACAGCAAATCATCACATTCCTGGATCTTTTTCATTCTATCCTACCTTGAAAAGGTCTTATAATCGACTCATATCCACCTGCTCTCTATCCACCACAAACTGTTTCACTTGATAAAGAAAGCATAACAACAAAGAGTTCTTCCTTAGTTTACTCATTTTATACATTGTCAGCCTCTCATCTCAGTAACTAAAACTGAAGGACCTGGGTGAAGAAGTCATTCATCATATGATATTTTGTATCTGAAATCCAGCCCAATCATTTCTGATATGCTATGGATTCATATATATATATGAACCTATATAACACAATTATATTGCAAATTTTTAGCACTAAAAGCATTAGCTGGTTTAAAAAATACATCTAAAAATCATACCATTTTAAATCTCTGTTTAGTATTTATTAATATCCACAGACCTTAAAAAAAATAGAAGTTCCCCAGGCCTGTTTCAACTGCTGAGAGATGTGGTCCAAGGTGAAAATTACTTTATTTATAAATACAAACTTGAAAACCAATTACGTTTTCAAAAATTGACCTAGTTTGGTTGTTTATAACTGCCAATAGTAAATACATTCAGGAAAAGTGTATTTCATCTATATAGGTTGTTAGCAAACTTATGATTTTATGACTCATTTGGATTACAGATATAATTAGTTGCCACAAGAATAGAGAAAAAGTAAAGTTCAGTGGGAAAAATAAAGAACTATGTTTTTTTAAAAAAAGAAAAAGAATGACTTAAGTTTTGGTGTTTGGTTAGAGCAGACTTTGGCATATTTCTCTGTTAAACTACAGATAGTAAATGTTTAAAGCTTTGCAAACCATTTCATTATTTCTACTGGTCATCTCTGCCCAGGTAATAGGGACATGGCTCTATTACAACCAAACTTTGGCCTGAGGGTGGTATACCCTGGTTTGTTTTGAACCCATACTAAGAAATACACTTTATTCTTAAAATGTAACTTCAGTTAGAAAGGTACATATGTTTTTGCTGCTTCTGGTAATTTAAACATGGGTACATTTCTGGTAAGAAAAAAAGACAAAAGTTTGAGCAACAACAAAAATGAGTACTTGCATTAGTCTTCAGTTGTCAATGAATTTAGAGTTATTATTCTTGAAAGTTAGACAGTATTTAGGAAAAAGAAAAAGACAGCATCAATATATGAATAAATTTGATACAGTGATTTCATGATCCTTTTATCTCTTATTGTAGATTTCAAAGGAAACTTTCTTCCCTCAGAAAATTCCATGTTTAAATCCAGTGTTTTTATGTGTTGGGTTCAGTAAGTTTCTTTAGCAATAAGAGTGTAAAATAGGCATTTACAACATCTCATAATCTTGTCACTGGGATAACTTAAACATAATATAAATGTGGCAAGAATGATGGCCTGAAGCCAGAGCTCTCTTGAGTTTAAAGCCAGGCAACAAGATCTTATTTTTCTCTAGCCATGAGCATGAGCAATGATTTTTACTCCAGAATTTCTTTGTTAAAAAAAATAGAGAATAAGAATGCATATTAAGATATTATATGTGAAACATATAATGTATATTAAAGATACTAAGTAGGATTGAAGAATTGTAAGTAATGCTTAGAAAAACATTGTACTTAAGCCTTCTCCAAAGTCAGTAGATATCAGTACCTATTAGTTAGTCGGTTTTCCAGAGTATTGGCCTTATATGTTTTAGCTGTATCATTTCTGTCTGAGATCCTTTATAAAGAAACAAGACAAATGGGTGAATGAATATTTAGTTATTGAAATCCTTTCAGACCTCTTTGTTAATATAATAACATCACAATATAAACTTTCTCTAGGAAAAGGACCTATTTTTCAGGTATTACATTTTAGAAAATGTTATAATTAAAAAAACTATGACAAAATCTATTTAGGAGGCTATTTTAATATAGTTTGTAATTTCTTTAATTCTATGCTTTTCTGTTAGCCTTTTTAACTCACTGAACATTTAACTTGTTAACTATTTTATATTCATTGTTGTTTAATAATTTATCTAGCCAATGACAGTACTTCCCATGTCAGTAAAAGACAACAATGGAAGACTTGAGTATTTTTTAAAATATTTTGTGGCATAGACAATGCTATATGACTGCCAGACTTACTTTACTTTCCTTCTGAGCATATAGGAGGACCACATTTCCCAGTTTTCATTGCAATTAAGTTGGGACGATGTGATTGAGGTCTAGACTAAGAAATATGGGCAGAAATATTTTTGCCACTTGCAGATCCATCATAAAACCTCTTGTGTGATCCTCCATGCTCTTTCTTCTCCTCTGCCATGTTTTGGTGCCCATGGGTTGAAGATGTCAACATTAGAACATAGAAAGAGCATAGGTCTCTGAGTCACTTCATGGAGCAGAGATGTCCCCAGTCTTCCAGCCAATCACACTGGACTCTGATGAGAGTGACCAGGAATCTTCTATTGTACTAAACCATAGATATTTGGAGGCCAGAGAGAACTTACTCAAAGAGTCACTCTATCTACCCTGACAAATTAAGTTTACTTTGACTAACACATTTAGTTAATAGGCCCTCCCGGCCTTCAGAGGTTTTAATCACTCTAATTTCAGGTCTCCTCAAGGAGACCCCTGGACATCATTTGACATGATAACTAAAAAATTGGAATAAATAACTCCAATACATTAAAATTCTACAAGTCAACTCCAAACAGTTTCTGGTTTTGGTACATAATAACACAAACTGATAATTCTTGAGTTCAAAAAGGAAGGAACATTAGAATCCCCCAGAGCTCCACATTCTCAACAGACTGCTCATAATACAGTTGTTAACTTGTACAGAATACTGGAATCCATGTATAAAAACCTCATGTCTAAGGTGATCATCAAACCAAAGACTATGAATCAACCCCCAGCCCTGATTGCTGCTGTGCCTGTGAAATGATTATATATTATATGTAAAGGGCTCTGTGGTAAAGCACTGTGCACACCATAAGTAAAATGTCATACACCTGGCTCTACAGTGTGATTGTTCCAACACTCAAATATTAGGGCAACATGCTTTCAGTGATCATTCTTCACTTCCACTATCTCTTCTACGCCACTAGGGATCAGTCTATGAATAATAGTGAAGGGAACTCTAAACCACCATTCCAATACATATGTCACTCTTATAACACAAGGAGAGTAACTCTGTATCTCTCTTGGAAATCAAGTTTCTACCACCTTGTGACAAGAAATAGGTTGTTTTACTAGGAGTCAGTCTTGGAGACAGGAAGTACCCAAACAACATAAAGAGCAATAGAATCAAAACAACTAAATATAAAGTTATACTTCCACAACAAAACACTAGAGGGCTCCCTAACACAGGTTTTCCAAATTAGTCACTAAAACACCTTGAAAATTTGGGCCATATTGCACGCTACAGTTAAGACTATTACTTGTGTTTCTTTAGAACACCCATATCTGTACATATGTATATATATTTTAAAAGAGAACTCTTCAAACATAAACTTATTTGTAAAAGATGCATTATTGAAATGTACACACATGCACACCAGATATTAGATCATCTTTTTTCTAAAATTATATCACATCTTGCATTTAGAGTGGCATGCATTACGGAAGTCCTAGTCCCACTGACAGAATTTGCCTTTCTTCAAGGATCCCTGTGTTTGTCCCCTCTGTTAACAGTTAACAAGGCTGTTAACTACAAGAGAGAAGTCAACTTCTTAGATGCTGATTAGATCCTCTGTAGGGACTGACTTAAAAACCAATGAATAGTGCAGGAGTATATACATTTGCTATATTAATTAACACTGGCATAGCCCGAATACAGAATCTATTAGTTATGTCCACTTAAAATACAGCAGGTGTCATTTTTGTCTACAGTAACAGCGTATCTTTAGCTGCAGGGAGTGACCTCAACTATCAATGGCATTGAGTGTTGTGTCTAGACTCAAACTAAGATGTTAACTTTGCTCTTTACTTATGCCTACTAAGCATCTCTACCAAATATAAAATTAAAATGTGATTTGTGGCATTTTTACCTGAATACACATTTCTCAGTTTTCTCTAGAGATGAGTCCTGTCCCTCTGTGTAAGAAGGAACTAAAAAAAGGTACATATTGGGCTCTCTCTATAGGCCATATGGTGACTCCAGTGCCAAGAGAATAGTTTCACTTAATCCTAGAGTAGATGAAAACTATTGTATTAGTAAAATTAGCAGTCTCTCTCTCCATAAAATAGATGTACAGAAACTGCTGTTTTCTCCACCAGTGGGATGGAAAGAACAAAAGTTAGAACAAGACTATTCTTATTCATGATAATAACTATATTCTCCATTTTAAATTAATGGAGTTCACACAGCACCCAGTCTATCTATATTTGAACCAGTTTCTTAGGTGTTTTTCTTATTAATCTACTCTTACAGGGATTTTAGGGAAATAGAGTATTGAGTCAAAATTCTATGAGTTTTGAGGAAGAGAATTCAATCCTTATATCCCTACTATGCCTGGGGATACAATTTCATAGTTCAAAAGCTTACTTTGGTAAACACTTAAATATTCATGCTTTATAAGAAATGAGATTTAATATATGTTTTGCTTTACATTTACATGGTTCAAAAACACCTTACCTGTCCAAAGCATCATCAGATCTGTACCGACTAATTGTGGCTTTTGGCTCATCATTTACTTTCCTATAGCAAAAAGTAATTAAAGAAATATCAAATAAATTACCAAAAAACAATTTATTAACTGTCATGCATTTAGTAAAATTTGGCCTGTTTAGGTAGGAGATGTACATATTACCGAGAAAAGACTTGGAATATCTAAATCTTCTGAGGTTTGACTTGGATAGAATAAATTATGGCAAACCCATTCTAATAAAGGAATTCTTCTCTAGGTCCAATTATTTCTAACTACAATGTAACATATTCAAATTGGGAATAAGGATACGTAAAACAAACAACACAACATGCAGAATGGTTAATAACTAATATGTATTCTTGTCAATGTTGTTGATTTTTACATAATAGGAGTACAATACCTTATAATCAGCTACTTTTTGTTTGCAGGGTTTTAGCAGCACCATAAGCAAGCACATAGGCAAGCCAACACAAATCACTCCATTTAAGTTCAGCACCGTGGACAGGGTTGAAAGATGAGAACTTGCTGGCAGAAGAGAGGGAGGGAAAGGAAAGAAAGAAAAGGACACAGGAAAAGTTGGAAAGAAAGAAAAGAAGAAAGTGGGAGAAGAAAGGTTAAATGTAGGAAGGAGAAAAGGGGCAGGAGATGAGAAGTAGGGAAAGGAGAGACAGAGGCAAAGAGAAAGGAAGATAGACAAGCAGAAAAAAAGGGGGAAGGGAAGACAAGGAAAGAAGGAAAAAGAAGATAGGAGCCTCAGCAGTGGGAATCTTGCTCTTCAAAGCATTGAGAATATCTTGATCAGACTGATCAATCAGCCAAAAAAAAGGGCCTGCTTAATGCCTTCTATATAATACCCCTGTGATACAGGGAAAGCAAGCTCTTTGGAGAATTATACTATGATTTATTGTATTTGCATTTCAAAGCATCATTTGAAGCTGAAAGTTCAAAGATCTTGAATTAGAAAAAGTACTTAAAACAGTATTCTTAAGATTTAATTTTTAACTTGAGGTAGCATACTTTCATTAAGTAAATATTTGAAGGTAAACAATATACAATGCACTGTGCATTGTGACTATGAGGAGGTCAAGAGTGCAATAATTGGACCCTACCCACACAGAGCTAGAGCAACAACCTCAAAACATATATCCAGAAATAAAAAGTGGCCAGTGTTGTAAAAGAGGTTTGGGTAAAGTGCAAGAATGCTCTAAGTTAAGAGAGTTTATTTTCAGGTGTAAGAATCAGAGAAGGCTTTGTGGGTAAAGTGTTGTTTGAGCTGGGCCTTGGAGAATAAATTGATGTGAACATTTTCAAACAGAAGTAGAGAGAATAGTGTCCATTAATGCAAGAAAAAGTAAAGAAAATGTCTAATGCAATTCTCCATGTTTTGAAGGAGACTTACAGTGAAATCATGGTGTGGTTCCGCATGTGTAATGTGTGATTTCAAACAAACCCTACAGAGCCATCTGACCCCTTCCATAAAATAGCCCCTCACAGAGACCATCACCATGTCTTGGTAACTGGCTTTATTCTTCCTAGCACTTTTTGCAACACAACATACTATACTGTGTGTATACTGGGTCCCTCCCCTCCCCCACCTTCAACTAGGATGCAAGTTCTATGAAAGAAAGGACTTTGCTTTGTTCCCAGTCCTTAGGGTCTGACTCACAGACCACAGGAGGTATCTCTGCAGGTATATATGCTATCAGTTTTATTGGACATGTAAATTATCTAGCAGAGGAACTACAAAGCAACAATTATTAGTTTCTGTACAATATGAAGCTGTTATCTAAGTTGATGAGAATATATTATTTATATTGCTTTTCCTTTATTCTCAGTCTTTGCTCATGTGAAGCTCTTTGCACACATTGCCACTTCTTCTGGAAGCACTTCTTTCCCAGCCCCACAGATGCATCTTTTTCCATGACCATGAGAGCTCCTTAAGCTCAAGGGTGGTATCTTATGCATCTTTGTATTCCCAGAACTGGGCACAGTGCCAGCACCTGATAAGTGTTCCAAAGTGGGTTAAGTAAATACCAAAGTGGATACAGCCTCTACGAATGGGCAGAGAAGTGCCAAGTGGGCATCCATTTGAACAAGTGCAAAGAGAAAAATAATCTACACTATCCTTTTACAAAGACATATTTTGAGATATTAGTTATGGGTCAAGGAGAAAATGTCTTAGACTTACAATTCTTTGTTACTGAAGATAAAAGCTCAATGTGCTGTGTTAGCCAAAATGCTATTCACTGACAGAAAGGGGTCAGTAAACCAGTATAGTTTAAAATTTAGAATAAGCACAGAAGGCATTAAACTCCTGTTATCCTAAAAACAGTAAGAATATGAAGCTTAGTTTTCACTGCCATGCTCCAAAACCAGTACATTCATTCTTTAATAGTTCCAGAGAAAGGCAAATAAAATGGAGGGAACAATTTCCACTGGTGGCTTGACTCAACTAATCAGTCTCCCTATGTTTGGTGCAACGAGGAGCTACAACCAACAAGGCTATAATCTTTGAAATCGTGAAGACCACGGAGAGAGACAGGTAGAGTCACAGAACAGTCAATCAGTTGAACTAAGGTTGGAAACCAGAAAAAAAAAACAGATACTTTGTGGAGAGGACTGTGAGCTCCGTACTCTTAGAATAGTTCAAAATTATGAACAGGGTTAAAAGGATTTAGAAAAATCACAAGTAAAAGCTTCCAAAATAGACATATAAAAGGTGTGTGCTTAACTTTGTAAAGTCCACACTATGAACGACAATCACAATCCCTTGTTAAGTACCTTTTGGTGACAAACAGACAAAGGCTACTCGACCACAAAAGATCTGTGTCTGACAAACAATTATGTTCTTCTGATGGGTGTGAGTGTGAATGTTTTAATAAGCATATTATCTACTTATTTGATCTTAGATTACTTACATCACTGCGATCACTAGTTTTGTCTGAATTTTCCTACTAATTTGCCTTTGCCAGTCTGTTTTTCCATTGAGTACCATGCAGTGGTGTCTGTAAGCCTAGGAGTTCCTAAAAAGAAGTGTACTGTTGCAGAAAGCGTGTGAACTCCAGAGCTGTGATTTCTGTATTTTAGGCTTGCTCTCCCAAAGGTTCATGGATGCCTTATCTGGTCACATTTCTGGGGTTGCTCTTTTCGTTTCTCATAAGGAGGGCCACGTCAGTGGCGCAGGCAGAGGACTGGTTTTTCTACACCGCCTAGCTGTAGTTCTGGAAACATGGAACTAGAGAAGCACAGGGTTCACCCTACAGAAGTCCCAGATGATATCATAGAATCTCCTTCACGTGCCCAGAATGTCAGGGAAAGCCTGAGGCTAGCCACAAATATTCAGTCTGTTTTGAACAAGTCTTCTCTCAAAATTACTGCCTTTGTGTTTCTGCTAATGATGTAACTGGCCTGAAACACCCACCTGTCCAAGGCATCATGGGAGTTATGTCGGTTGAGCATCACCCTCCCATAATTTTCATCTCTACAGAGAAAGAAAACTAAATCACATGAAAAGCTTCCACAGTATTTTGTAAACACTAAATTAGGGAGAGAGGAGAAAGAGCTCACAATTTTTGGCAAGGTTCATTCATCTTTCTTCAAGCATGAGAATACAACTGTGTATTTATTTTAATGAGTCACCACTTGAAAGAGCATGTTGAAAAGAAAAAAGTTTGTGGGTACCAGTCCAAATGATCATTCATCTATCCTGTGGGATGTCCATGTAATTCAATAATGGAAGGGGTATTTATTGTTTTTTTTATCAGTGTTGAAACACACAACCATCTACATTATGTATATCATAAAACTCTTTTTCTTCAGGCAGGCAAAAACTTTCTATATACATGCTTTAAGGTTAACTAAGCCCATTAAATCTGGACATTTTTATTTGATGGATTTGATGAGTTTCCTTGATAAAATTAGGAAAATAAGTACCATATTTGTAGTTGGGGAGGTTGATTCTTCATAGGCAGTTCAGCCCAATTTTGAAGCATGAGAGTGTAATTTGCTCTGTTTGGTCCCTAAAATAACCTTATTTTGGTTTCTTAATGCATGAGGTAAGGAAGGCCCTGCCTTACCCTAGTCACAGGTGAGGAGATTGGGTAGGGGCTTGGTGGCTGTCCTAAGGCAAAACAGTTAGTAGGTAACAGAGGTGGTTCTAATACCCAGGCCTTTTTATTCCAAACTTGTGCTTTTCCTACTGGTCAACTCTGCAATAGACTTTCATACATAAAATCCCAAAGTCTTTCTAACTTTGTACAGCAGACCTGAAGGTACAGGCAATTTTAGGAAATGTCAGAACATGTAGTAGAGCCTTTGGCCTTGAGCCAAGGCAGAGAGTAAGTACGTGAATCTCTTTCATGTCAACCCAACCAAACCTGAAATATCACATTGCTCCTGGTTCTGTTCCACAAACGTTACTCAATACTCTGGAACCATTTATAATAAAGCTATAAAAGAATTGTAGTAGACAATTTAAAGAAAAATGAACAGTGAAACTGAAACAGTTCTGGCAAATAAAAACCCTCAAAAATCCCAAGAGAACTTTCCCTCCCTCTTGGTATCCCGTCCCTAAACTTGGGAGAGAGTAGCTGACACCAGATGCATTCTTCCTGAAGAAGAATCATAACACATAGCTCAGAAGAGGGCCAGCAGGAGTGGAAAAGGATCAGAGCCAATTTCTCCTTCATTCAACAGCTGCCATACCATCCATGCTGGCTTCCCTAAGCCTTTTTAAGGAGACATTCCTGGCCTAAAATCATCATTCCCACCAACTACAATTTGTCTTAGACATCTCTGTCTTCGCCCATCTGTGCAAATATTTGCAACCCAAAATTTATGATCTACATTTTATATCACTCTACCACTATGGAAAAAATAGAAATGCCATATTAGGCTCTGACAAAAGCAGTAAATGTTACACCATAGAAGGAAATGATCATTTTGTTAACTCCAAAAATTAGTGTGTCTCAATACTTTTCTGTTCCCTTAAAATAATAAATTTAATAACAGAAATTAATAGATATTCTGATATAATTGCCACAAGTGTGCT